CATTATTGCAGCGCACAAATGAATTGCAAATAAATGGATTAACAGGAATGAAGGACTTCTAGGTGGCTTTGCTGCAAGGACTGAATGTGATTTTTGTATCTTTTGAATGAATTAAAAGTAAAATTAAACAAAAATAGTTAATCTGGAATTAAGAGCAATACTGACAAGGAACATTTTTTTTAATTTAAAAATTTTTCAACTTTAGTAGTTTCTGCTGCAAGACTTCACATTGTAGCAACAGTTAAAATGTTGCAGCGGCACCAAAAAAACGACTAAACTAATGAAGGCCATATAAAGCCGGGACAACACATTAAAATGTCAATCAATTTCAGCAACATTTTCGTTGTTTACACAACAAAAGAGTCGAACATATCAACTACAAGGACATTTATTTATTTGAATGTTTTTTTTAAATACATTTAAATAATTTTAATACTTAACACTGCGGTAATCAAACTAAATTCTAAAGTTCTTTGTAGATGTTGCCGAAAGTAGTCTGCAAACAAATCGTTGTTAGTGCAACATTTGAAGTAACTGCTAAGCGAAAGAGCTTGTTTTAATTTACAACTAAAGAAAGTATTTCTCTTCAGCAAAACAGTATTTGCAGCATATCTCAGAGGTCATCATAATAAGGCGTTTGAATTACGATTTCAGAAAGGTGGATATGCAAATGTAAATAATTGTTGGAACTGCTTAGAAAGACATGAGAGCTTTAGTCATATTCTTTGTGACTATCTAGCTTTAATCAGAATGGTTAAATTAAAATTCCAACGAAATGGATGTACTTACGGAGATAGAATATTGGAACTGCTTGGAAAAATATGAGATCACCCTGATTATACAGCTTTGATCAGGGTCAAGTGGATATTATTATGCCGAGAGATTCTATACGCAATTTATATTTGTAAGTCTTTACATGTAGTCTTTGATTCAAAGATTGTCTTGGTTTTTCCAACGAAATGGATGTACGGAGATAGTATGTTGGAACTGCTTGGAAAAAGATGAGATCGCCCTGATTATTCAGCTTTGATCAGGGTCAAGAGGAGATTATTATCCCGAGAGATTCTATACGCAATTTATATTTGTAAGTCTTTACATGTAGTCTTTGATTGTCTTGGTTTTTTTTGTTAAGATCAGTTAGAAACACTAAAGGACTATCATGGTTGCAGTGCTTCACTCAGTACCATTCCACTACCTTCTTCATTCCTAGTCTTTTTTGTTGTACTACATACATGCTGCTAAGATTTCAACTATATCTAGCAGTTACTTGTATTTTGTATTATTGTTTTTTCCAAATTTTGTGTTAATGTGCAATGTATTTTAAAAAAATGAACAAAATAGTATATAAATACTATGTTTATACCGTGATGAAATTGTTAAGGAATATCATATAATATCTCACCAAGTATATGAGTACATAAAAATTAAGCAATTACATAGCACATAATCACTTGGTGACTTATTTAAATAATTTTATTTGCTAAAATTCGTGGTTTAATTATTTTATAGTTTTTGCTTTTACAATGCTAGCTTCTATGTAATGAAGCGAAAATCCGAAACTTTGTAAGTGCATTTGACTAACAAACTTCGCTTGAAGTAATATTCTAAGTTCTATGGCTTCCTTCACATAATGTACTGAAATTTTTATTACAAGCGCTCGCTTCCGGTTACTTGTCCCTTGCGGTTACTTAGACTTACTGCAATTCGGTTCGAATGTAGTCATTTGTGTATTAAAGGCTAAATGCTCGCTTAAGATAACTGACTGTTAAGCCCCCTCTCTACAACAAAAAAAACAAGAAAAAATAAAATTATAAGCCGTACATAAAGGAATAAAAAAATAAAATAAAATAAAATTTTCAACATTTACAAGATTTATAAATGTAATTGAAAAGCATCTGAAGTATCTGGAGTAGTGACATCGTTCGCTGGCATACTGACGACGCGGATTAAACGTTACAAGTTGAAAATAGTTTCGGTCATTTTCGTTGAAGTTGTGAAATTGTGAAATTGTGAAATTTGCCAAAGTCAAACAGAACGCGGCCTCCCATTATCCCGCTGTAATTCGCTGCACAACAACAGCAGCAGCAGCAGCAGGAAGAACAAGTGAAGTTTGCCTTGACTCTGTAATTGACTTTATGTTGCGCAACTGTTTTTCTCAAAATACCCTTGGGATTTTATGTATCTACAGTTTTTTCTGTTCTATTCAGTTTTTCTTTTCATTTCAGCTACAACATTTACGCGATGTTCTGGTGGAAGTCAGTTCCTCCATTTCTGGTCTTTGCACTGTTGCAGTTATGATAACTTTATAGCATTTAGCGTTGTAAGTGCTAGCATTTCTCGTATTGGATTTTTTTCGTTTTTTGTTTTTTTTTTGGTTTTGTTTTTGTTTTATGTTAAGGCAGCAAGTATCTTTATCTTCTCTCCTACTCCATTCACCGTTCGCAGTTCGCAGTTCACAGTATGAGTTGTATATCCAGCGAACCACAAAAAATGCTAATAAAATAAAAAATATACACAGTGAATGAAGTACAAAAATTATATTAGGGAGAAGCGTTACAATCCTTAAGTAACTTATGCCATAATTTTGTTTTGGTTAAGACGAAGCCTGGCAAATATTATTTTTTATATTTATGCTACTTTTTGCGCCTTCTTAATATTTATTATAAATGTTACTCATGAGCGTATTTAGTTAATTTTATTTCACACAGGAGAAGCCAGTGTTGTAAGTATGAAGAAACGTAACTGCGATCTGGCTATATCTCGTAGGAGTAGAAAATTAACTCAAGTCTGTTAAGTTGGCAGCACTGCACCAGTTCAAATGGCGGTAAATGTATCTGCACCAGTAACGGAAATGTAGTAGTAACAACAAAAACAAAAAAAAACAATATAATGATGAAGGAAAAAATTAAATAAAATAAAAATGGCTCTTATCTCTGCTTAGTACTTCTCGTAGATGAGAAAAGTTTCTTTGACTTTCCTGATAACTTAAATTATTTTTAGAGTAGCTGTAATGTGATAGAAGGGAGATCGCAAATAATATAAAAAATAATAAAAACAAATATTTTAATATATATATTATTTTAGTTTATGAATCCTTATAGCTACTAGGAAAATTTTATGAAGTAAAACTAAAGGAGAAGGCGCAGAGCTATTATTCTACAAATTTCAAATATTACAAAGTAAAGAATAAAAACCGTTGAATAATAATAAGGATTAATTAGTTAATAAAATTTATGTTTTCTTTTTCTATATTGATATTATGTATGGTATATCAATAAAATTTTTATTTTAGATCCATCGTTTCATCATTATAAACCAAGCAAATATACTTAAAAACAAAAAAATTATGATGAGAGGATTCTTAAGTCACAAACTAATGTTTTAATATATTTTTATACAATTATTAAAATGTCTCTTTTAATATATTATATATTAATAAGGAATATATTTTCTTATTCTGCACTGATTATTCTTAGAAGCTAATAAACATTGCGTCCGTTTATAGTATACTTTACGAAGTAATCTAGTGTGATAATCATAAGTTTTTACATGCATGCTTAGGATTTTTGTAATTTTCTGTTAAAATCAAATTCCTAATTATGATGAAGTTTTTGGTTGAGATCAAAATATTCACAAAAAGATCAGGGAGTTCTGAAGAATAATGCTCAAATTTTGTATGAAAGGACAGAACCGTGTTGCGACCTTAGCGACAAAAAGAACTTTATTTTAATATTTTTATTCAAAACGAAAGTTCTTTTTAAAAGACAACAAATATGCCCTGACATTATATCCTAATAAGTCAGACTAATTAACTCGAACTCGAACTACATTTCTATTCAAGAACTCAATGTCTCATACTGACAAATAATGTTTTAAAATTA